AGTAGCTTAGTATTGCCAGGACCTGAGCAGTTATAGAATAATCAAGGCAGAAAAGTAAGGACTCTGATGATTTAAATTTTGCTCTTTAAAAAAAGCATGGATTATGATTTAGAAATTAGAAAAGTATACAAATACCTTCAAACATCTTTCAAGTCCACTGACAGTGACACCATCCTTTCTCTGCCTATACCACCCCCTCAAAACTTCACTGATGGGTGTCACAAATTAATTTCATTGTTTTTTCTAATTTAGCTCTTACTAACAAGGAGTTGAGTCCTTCTGGTTCATACCATGAACAGAGATGCCCACTACTCAGATGTGGGAAGTCTGACTGTCCATAACCAGCAAAAAGTAGAAAAATTGATCAAAAATTTACATTCTGTAAGAAGAAGAGGAACTTTTACATTTATTATTATTATTATTATTTCTATTATGCAGCATGAAGGATTCCAATTAGTCCAAACATCCCTCAGGCATTCTCTACTGTTTTTATAATTTATTTTTTTAATAATGAATCTTCTCAGACTTACTTTTATAGATTTCAGACATCCAGATGATTATGATCATATACAGCCTTCAAAATGTGTTAAAATATCTGTTGAAGTTATTAATTTTGAAGTTAATTTAGTAAATAATAAAAGTTATAAGCAGTGTTGCTTATACTTTTATTTTTATCCAGGCCAGATTCAGGAGAAGATAAGAGCCTGTTAGCTTCAGCATAAATCATAAAGTTTAAGGCTGAGGGACCTCTCCTTTTCTCAAAGACTGCCTACTTTGGAAATTAAGTGTATATAGCTTTATTTAATAATAGTAACATTATGTGTTGGACATTGAATAGAAAATTCAGGTTATTAAGAAGAAAACTTATTATCTCATAAGATTGATTGCATCCTTGATTTCACATATTTGGTTGAATCTTTGACATTTTTTCACTTCGATACTGATGCCTTAATACTACAGCTCTTCACTTGTCAGGAAGACAAACTTCAAGAGGTAAGAGGATTTATAGAATGTGGGTTCATCAGAAAAATCAATGCAGCAGAACTTGCTAGAGTGAAAGACCTCTGCAGACCTGGCTCAGATTCATTGATAAGCAATCAAAGCGAGCAGTGCTGTCTGGAGGGAACAGGAATGAAATGGGTGAAACTGAAGAGTGCCCCATGCTGGAAATGACATGTTTAGATTGTATAGTTTTTTATATTGCAAAGTATACAATGGGGGGACTTTCACTTTTAGTTTTAGATGTCAACTTATATTTTGGACATCTAAAGATGTTTTTGTCTTGTCTACTTAGTGAGAAGTACAAGCATCAGCTAGTAAGGAAGGATGCCTGGGCAGAGAGGAATGAAGGCAGGAAGATAATTTGCTAAATTAATCAATGACAGAATAAAAATATTAGAAGTAGAATGAGGCTCTTACTCTAGATAGGAGAAATAACTTCTTAAAAAGCCAGTTCTCAGAAAAACAAAATCACCTGAGAATAAAACAGCTCTCAGTTTAAATGAGTGGAAGACATGGCTCCTCACTAGAAGATCTCCAAAATAGCTATTTGGAAAAGCTTCCCTCTGACAGAGCCTTGAGTAAGATGACTTCTACCAACAAATTGCCTGAGCTTTTGATGCAGTGCCCTACCACTGGTTTTGCATCACTCTGGTTGTTAACTTGCACGTTGAATTAGGACAAAGAAGAAAAAAATTAATAAATTAAAAAGAAAATGTCATTTTCCAGAAGAAAGTATCTCCTTCCTTCAAATAAATCTGGACAGTAAGGTCCTATGCATCTGGAGACAGATTGATATGTGGCTTGAAAGTGTACTTTTAACAAATGCAACAGACTACAAAGAAAAGGATAGCCAGTGTTGCTTATATTATTGCTTGATTATTTCCAGATGTTATCTTAGAGATTTGCAGTCTTGTTGAATTATACTCGTACCTTAGCATGTCTTTCATGCAGTGCAAGGAGAGTAAACAATAGGACTGACATACAGAGTTCATAGCCTAGTATTGATTCCGGATAAGACATTTGTCTTAATACATTTTACAGGACAATTGTGTAGTTCCAGCCAATTAAATTATTGTCCATCATGGCACTAAACAAGTATTGTAAATTTGGTAAACTGCATAGGGAATTACAGTGAAACATTTGACTTAGCATTACAAACAATTTAAAAGATTATCATGCAAAGCCAACAGAGTACACAGGAAACAGTAATATTAGCAAATATTAGAAAGAAACTGTTTTCTTAACTGAACGTCTCTACGAACTAGTAATAAACAGCAAATACCAATGTAATGTAAGTACCAATGGCCAGCTACAGATCACAAAAGAGAACATGCTTCTTTTCAGCAGCACCAACACAGAAACCTGTTTCTGCCTCAGTACTGTTCGACTGTGAATTTACTGTAACTAAGCAATGAATATAAGAGCCTTCCAACTACTAATTGTGGCTTGCTATTTACAAACTTTATTTATAAACTCATTTTCATGCAAGTATAAAATACTAATTCCATGGACAAATACACATTTGTTCACCACTCTAAATTATATACATTGTATTTGCATCTAATATTCAGAGAAGTGCAAAGTCCACAGTGACGTAAATAACAAGTTTTGTAAACTATTTTAGATGACAAGCTCTCAAAAGATATTAGTAACCATATGATAACGTATTTTTTTGTATACTGCTGAAATCAAACATTTTTTGTAGTAAAAGAACATACATTTCAGCTACATTCAAGTGAATATTTTATTACCATGTATTATGTCTTACAAACTTTAGTGGAGATGAGCAAGAGCGCTACAGAACCATACCTTAACGCAAGAGGTGTATTGCATGGTATGTGCAGGCATAGCCAAGGAGAGAGAACTGGAAAGGAAAACAAGGTAAGAAAACTTGTACAAAAATGGACAGTAATACTGACTAACACTGGGTTATAATCTTACTTATAACAGACCTGAAGGGCTAATAGAGATCCAATTCAGAAACACCTGTGCACTGTAGGTACAGTTTGGTGCAGATCAAGAGTGCACTAATACAGTCAACGTTGTACGCATAAGATAATGCACAAAATACGCTGATATGCATATAAACAACTAACTTGTTTACATTAAGTAGGGCAGCACTGTTGTAGTACTGCATCCTTGGCACTTAGTGATAGGACAACATGTATTTGGTTTAACTAAATTCATAAACAGGATATATAATGGTTTGTAAGATGGAACACATACATTATCCCTTTCAACCTTCTGGTTTTACAGCATTTTTTCTAATTTTCCAGTTCAAATGCAAACATGACACACTAGCTAGATATGGAAGACATTTCGGATATTGGCTTAGAACACCATCTTCAATAAAAAAAAGACAGAAACAAGGATTAATTCAAATTATAATAAGTGAATTTGTTACTACTGCCTTGTGCTGAAAACAAAATCTGAACCATGGGAAAAAAAAACCAAAAAAACCCCGACCTTATAATAAAGCCCACAATGTCTTTATGGGCTTTTCCTAAATAATAACTTCCTTAATGTCCCTTTCATGTATACCAATTTCACTTAAAAGAACTGCTGAACTTATCAATCTGAAAAGTTGTAACTGAGTTAGAAGTTTGGCCTAATGTATCACATCACACAGAACGGAAGAAAATACACTCTTCTTCAAAGAAAGCATGTTTCAGCTATGAAAGGATTCCAATTTTAAGTGATTGTCCTTTATTAAACAATATAAACAACTATCTGGAGGGAGCCAATTTACTTTTGCCTGTTTCAAACAAACTGGCTAAATTGCCATTTTACATTATATATAACAAATGTAATAAAATAGTTCTTAATGTATAACGATGTAATACTTTAAAATTAACTGTTTAAAATATTTTACAAAGACATTTTATTATATATGAACTAGACAACACACAAGAGCATGAAATATTTTGAACATATACACATTTCTGTATTTTTCATGTAGATTATTATTTTGCACCAAACACTGGTGTCTTCAATTTTACAGTCCTCACATAAAAGCAAAAGAAAACCCCAGAATGTTTAGTGGATATGTTTAGTTTGGGTTTTTTCCTGAAAATAAAACCTATTGCAAATAGAACTTCTCTAATGATTTTTCTTTCCCCAATTTAGCATTTTGCGCTAAGCTTTCCAAATTGCCCAATGTACACAAGAAGAATGATCTTTCTGTACTGTGCAGTGCAATTTGCCAGGGATAAAACTAAAACCAAACTGACCCTTTCCCCACTATTAACATTGAAAATTGCAGCCAAAATAATGTCAATGCCAATCACTATTGAAACTCTTTTACCCCCTTTAGTGAAAATGCAATCCTTTTCAATATCCATTTTAATGAAAATATTTGCATAGAGCAGCCTTGTATTATTTCTAAAGAACATTATGAGCGTTTTAACACAAGATAAGGCACATGTTTTTCAGCATTAATAATCTAAACTAATCCTGAGGATCTGCTCCTCCCCCTCAGCAAAATCTGCTTTTTTAATATACCCTGTATTACCTGAAGAAAGCAGAAAAGCAGTATAAACTCAAATTCTTTAGCTGAACTAAATTCAGAACATTAACGACTCCTGATAATAGTGTAACAAATCCACAGATGAATTAAGTCACTCTCTAAACAAATAATTGTTAAAGGGAAAGAAAAAAAGACAGCCAGTAGCACTGTTGATGTTAGCTAAAAGTTCACATACTAGAGATGACATTTACTGTGAGTTTTTTCTAAAATAAGCTCCCATCAGAAACAAGGTAGCTAAATTGTGAGGCACTTAAGGTTGACATGAAAAGGAGGAATGCAAGGGGTCTGTTTCATAGAAAACCTGAAGTTGCATATCATATCCTTGTACTAAGCCTTCTATTAAAGTGCTAGAAATGGAGACTTAAAACAAAAGGATTCAAATATAAAATAAGTGATTTCAGAGCTCAGTATGCATTAAAATTAAGTGCTTTTGATTCTCATGAATTTAGAGCTTTTTAATAGTTTTTAAAAAATAAAGTCTGGAAATAATCCACGTGTGAAATCACCTTCCTTGTGCCATCAGTGCTATTTGTAAAGTGCCCAATTTTCTAAACAACAAAACCATTTGCCTTATCTTATGTTGTATAGCATGACATAGTCTGTAGTATGTACGCAATCCATACTGCAAGGACACAGTCAGCCTGATGGAAAACAGCACATGCTTACTTTCAATTGGAAGATTTAATTCCACCTGTCATTCCAAAAAGCCAGGTCTTGAATTACATATCCACCCATATATAGTGCAACCAACCTCATATTCTCAAAATGTAATTTAGCTGGTAAAGTCTAACCCTCAAAGAGAGACTTATCAAGCTTTTCCTCAGAGCAACCTGACGCCCAGACAAAATCACAGATGGAGCTCTAGATCTGAATCACATAAATCCACTAGATGCCAAATCTGAGAAGGATCTGGGTTCTTTTGGATGATGAAGAGGCTGAAGATGTGTGGCAGTCTGTGCATTACTGATCACATCTAACTGAGAGGGATATGATTCATTTACATTTCCTCCATTGAAACCATTTTGGAACTGGCAGGAAAGAAAGAGAATATAAATAGTTAGTATAGGAAACCAATTAATTTATAAGTATTTAAAAATCCTCCTAAAGACACGTTGGATGAAATAATCTTAAAATACTTAAAAATCTTAAAATCCATTAGCTTTGATAGGTTTTTAAATTATGATTAATGAGAATTTAATTTGCTTTAAAATAGGGACTGAATCATCACTAAATCTTACCCATATTGAAGTCAATGGGAACCCTACTTCTGGCTAAGTGAAGAAATAATTCTGTTATCTAAAATGCAATAGAGTTTTCCATTTCTAGAAAGTACAGTCTGAGAGAAGGCATGTTTGCCACATCCAGCTGTTACATTTTAAAAGCAACCTATTTACATCTTTCCATGCCTGCAGTGGGATCCAGACATAACAGCTCCTCCAGGAATGCACAAGCAGCCCTATCCATAAGCTGAAGTATACTGTATGCAATCCACTGGCTGAAATGTTGCAGGGTGGGCTTTGTAGCAGTCCTTATATTGACAATGCCAAGTAAAAGCAATGAATGGCATTCATCAGTCTTAACATAATTGTTCATAGGATTATTTTAATCACCTAATGTAATGCTTCCTGTCATGCTATGGACTTTATCTACAAAATACTCCATTCAGTCATGCAAAGAAAATGCAATAAAGTATTTTAAACATTTCCATCATCTCTTTAGGAGTAGCTTATATCCTAAGTACTCATTCCTTCAAGGTTTGTCTTTAAGAACATGTCTTATACATTCATTCATCCATTCATCTATCAAATTATGCTGGGTATTAGTTTTTCTTTTTTCCATTTAAGCAAACATTGAAATTTGACTAAATGTGCACAATTCTTCTAACTTCTTAACAACAAAACCATGTGAATTATGTTTTTAATCAAACCTGACACACTTTTAAGAGCAGACACAAGGATTATTTCTTACAGAAGCAGGTGATTTCAATATTCTTCATTAATAAGATGACCACACATTAAATTTTTTAAGAACGCTCTCAACATAGAATCAAGTACTTAGGAAGGTTTCTTCTGCTTAATAAAGGAATACGGATCCTAAACAAGCAGCTAGATGTTCACAGGCCTTTCTGTCCTTCTCCATCACTGAAAGTGATTTTAGACGACACTGGCTATGCTCCTACCACAATTACAAGATAGGCAGAAAGTCAAGGCATGTGACCACAATAGACCCTTCTGACTTTCTAATTCTGTAGTCTTTTCACATAGAAATCAATGAGAGTTGGAAGTCTGAAAAGATACCAGTCATGGCTTGTATAGCCACATCTGTCCTGTCTCTGGACTCTAACCACTGTCAGGGATGTCAGTGTGCTAAACCCAGCCACCAAGACTGCCCTACTTTGGTTTGGCTGTGTGAATGTGGGCTCAGACAGCTCTAACCTATCTGCTTAGTCACACAAGGCTTCTGCTTATGCAGTGCTACTTAGCCCCATGTAGCACAGGAACACCCTAACAAGAGGGGCTGAATTTGCCCCTGAACAAATTAAGTAAGGACAATTTTTCACAAAGTAGCCTTTGTTCATTTTTTTTTACAACAACAAACTGTCTAATTATTATTGCAGCTCAGCCTTGTAGTAAATATGAAGCAATAGACAAAATTTTTTCAGAGGTGCTGTTTTGGTCATTAAGCTTTTTATAAACAGAGGTGAAGAAAATGCAAGGAAAAAATTAAAAAATAAGGGTCATAACAAAAATGTTTAAGGAGGTGTAAAAACAAAATAATCTGCAAAATAAATGCAATTGAAACTAGGATTAAAAATAAAGAAATGGAGTTGCAAATGCAATGGCTGTTCAAAACTGATGCATCATATTAGTACAGCTTTTGTGAAAATAGTAATTCTTTGTTACTATAAAGACAAACTTGGATGGCCCTGGAGCTGCTCTGCCACCCTATTAAGAAGCACTCTGAAAGACTGAGCACTGAGCACAGCCAGGCAAGGCACAGCCAAGCCATGCTCAGGTTTGCACAGTGCAGTTTCTCAAAGTCACTTCATGCAATTTCAACCCTGGGCACTCAGAAAGAAGCCATTCATCTTGCTGAACTGTGCTATATTTTAGGTAAATTTCTGCAATTCTGCAATTGCATTCTTTTCAGCAGTGAAGCAGTTTTAAAAAGGGAATGTTTCGTACTTGTATTAAGCATGTGAAAAAATGGATATGCTCTAACTGCATTCCTTACCTTTGTCTTGCATAGGTTAAATGCCAATTAATACTTGAATTCTGCAAATGCTTATGCATGTGCATAAGCATTTGCAGGATCAGTACTTCAGAACACTAACTCATTGAGATAAAACAAAACAAAAAAATTGTGGCTCTGTACTTTAGCAGCGTTAACAGAAATAAAAGGTACAACAGAAAGTACTTCAGCAAAGGTTATTCAGAATCAGGAACTAGTAATTTAATTTTATTTCTAAGTTGATTTTACCAATGAAGAACAGTGTTTACAACTGCAGTCTGTGCTACAGCCAGGATCATCTCTTCTATGGCATTTATTGAGCACTCTCCTTGGTGAAAAAGGACCAGCTTAGCTTCCTGTGATTATAACTTTTTCCAATCCTTTTTCCTTCAGCAATTAATTCAGACAGCAGCTTGAGCAACAAGCTGTCTTTCACTTATAGCAAAATATAATTTTTTTTTTCAGTAACAACTAATCCTAAAATCATTGAGGAATCTGAGTAGCTAGACAATACTCACACTTCAAAAACATTTTTTTTTTATCCTTACAACATATTTAATGAAAATGAGTGTGCCAAGCACACTCAACTCCTCTCTAAAGGGTCTATTAGCAAATTCCAAGACTTAGACCAATCTACTTTTCTCCTGCTCCTATTAGGAAAATTGCTGGTATAGTACCACAGACTACTTCATTCAGTCTAGATTAAGACTGCCAAAGAGAGCTATCAGACTGCAGGTACAGTATATGTAAACCTGATCAAGTCCAACTCTCTTCACTCTAATGAACAAATAAAGCAAAGACATCCACACACTGCTAACCCATCCATCTCAAACTCAGCAATTCATTCATGACAAACTGCCCCACAGCAGTCACCCAAAACAATATAAACTCAATTCAAAATGCAAGCAGTGCAGCAGTGCTGTTTACCATACCTTGTTCCCCAATGTTTGTTGTTGTTGATTCGTCATCATGGGATCATACTGCATTTGATCCACACAGCTGGGCTGTGCCTCCTGTGTGCACGGGTACATAGAAACAGCGCCTGCATAGCAAGTTTGAGGAGTGAGCAGAACCGACTCAGAGTTTATCCCACACTCAAGGTTCTCAGGGACTTGCTGCAAACAGCTGAGAAAATCCTCGAAGTTGGAAGAAGCAGAATAGGTCGATCCATCAAAACCCGCTGCAGGAAAATCCATTTGGGCAAAATTAGAAAGCTGTGGCATCATTGCTGTGGGTTGCTTGTAAGGAACAAAGTCTTGCCTACACTCATAAGGGGAAGTGTTAACTTCTGATTTGTAAGAGAACTCAGATGTGCTGGCATGCATGCCAGGGAACACGTATTGCTGGGGCTGCTGCTGTGAGCAGCTAAGAGGCATGCCAGAGCTCCAGTTTGTGAACATCCCATTGACTTGCATATGTTTCATCTTTTGACAGAGCTGCTGTTGCTGCTGCTGTTGTTGCTGTTCCACAAGCTGTTTCTGGTGCTGATGAAGTTGATGTGGGTCTAAGTCCTGCTGTACCATGCAACCTTCATTCTGGACCAAGGGCTGCTGCTGATTACAGTCTGAATATAAGAAGTCAGATTTATTTAAGGAATCCTGAACATAAGTCAGGATTTCATCAGTTATGTTGATGTCCCCAATATCATCCACATCGGATAATTCAGTTTTAAAAAACTCCTCATCCTGCTGAATACACTTAAGATCTTCAAAGTCAATACCCAGATTTTTCATGATGCTGTACAGGTCACTGGTTTTGTTATCCTGAAAGAGTGCTGCACTGTCTTCAGGAAGTGGAACACTGTCCTGGGAACACTCCATCAGCTCCCGTTTGAGAATGTTGTGATTTCCAGCAGGCAGGAGATTGTCTGTCCAGCCACTGCTAACAACACCACCCAGTTCATCCCTACTGTCTGCAAAGAAGTTCCGCTCAAAAGAAAGTTTATGTGATGCTGGAGGGCAGAGATAAACAGACTCATCTTGCCTTAACATGACACCTAGGAGGGAGTTTGGATCCACAGAATCATCGTGTAGCGTTGCTTTGGCTCCTTTTCCCACTGTGCTTTTACTCTTCGGTTGAGAGGGGTCCATAAGGCTCGACATAGGCAAAGACACCTCATACAACACAGCCTCACCAGTGGCAAACATGAAGGGCAACTTCATGTTACGCTTCCGTAGATGTTCTGCCCCTTCTTCATCTCTGAAAATAAATCAGATATATAGCATGGCACTGCACTACTAAACAGTTACTCTAATCTTTCTGTCCCCTGGAATTAACATAAAAAATAAACTCTTCTATTTGTAGGCATTTTTCAAATTCCTACCTATTCTAGCTCAACTTGGCTGAGTTAAACCAAGAGGCAGATTATGAAATAAGGAGCTTATGACTGTAATGCCACATTTACATATTACATTTGTAATTAAATCTAGATAGCATACACTATTTTCTGTGCATTATGGACTGAAATGAAAATAAGTGGGCTTTGTTCCATGCATTAAGCTTTTCTTGGTATAGCAAGTAAATCAATATTTGAAGGATCTCTTCTTCTCCATTTTACAGAGTCCTTAGCAAAAATTACTTAACGTATTTAACAAGGCTGAATTCCATATTATGCAGAACTTAGTTCAGCACTAAAATTCAGGACTGAATTTCTTTGTTATTCTTTCTACACAACTGCAGTTGGATTTCTCAGTTTTTGCTCATTGGGATTGAATACAGTGGATGGAATAACCTCATGCTTCTGCTGCTGATCTTGTTCTTTCTAAGAAATCAATATATCTAAAGTTTTATACAAAAGGACTATGCCACAAGTTCTGAAAGATCAGAATTCTTTACATGTTTGTTAGCAAACTGAAAGACTTTTGGGAATCTGGAATATAAAGAGTAATACTTAAAAAACAGAAATTCCTTTGTGAATATAAACAGCTTTGGGCTAGTTTTCAGTTTTTGAAGCACGCTACTTTATGAAATGATGACTTACGTAAGAGGTCTCTGTGTGGCAATGATGTAATCTGGTCTTCCATTTTTGTAGACAAGACGTGCATTTGCCTGTACCCAGGCCCATCGATTTTCTTTGGTTAGAAGCCTAAATACAGTCATTCCACTCTCACCTGTCTTCATCACTAAAGAATAAGCATACTGTTTACTGTCCAGCAAACAAAAGCATGAAAATCTGTATGCTATGAAAGGAATCCCTTTGTAGAGAAATTTTACAAATCTTATGTCCTCAATTACCCAATTCAATGTGGCACTAATGCATTCCCAGTGCATCAGGATGACTGATCACTTCAAGATGTCTAATTTAATTTATGGAAGTCAAAACTGCAAGATATCTGCTATAGATTGACAGCATTCTATATGGGGCTTTGTCCATTATTTTTTCAGTAACAGAAATTAATAAATACTAGAATATGTAAATGACAAAAGCCCAAGTCTCTCTTACCTTCAAAAAGTGACTATCACTTTAACAATTAGAAACATATTAGTTCTGAATCCAATTCTTTCACATTTTGACTGGTTTATGCAGAGATACTTAAAAATTTTACGTTTCATTCCAACTACCACTAACAATGCTTGATAAACATACTCAATTTTTTATGGTATATTTCTGTACTGGGTTCTTATGGCCAGGTTTTGGTAGTGGCAGGGAGGGCTACAGGGGTGGCTTCTGTGAGAAACTGCTAGAAGCTTCCTCCATTTCCAGTAGAACAAATCCCTGGCATCTCCAAGGTGGACATGCTGCTGGGCAAGACTGGGACAATTAGAAATTATGGTAATGCCTCTGTCATAACATTTAAGGAAAAAAAAATAATTATTGTGCAGATATAATTGTGGCAAGAGAAGAGTGAGTTGAGAATATGTGAGAGGAACAACTCTGCAGACACCAAGGTCAGTGAGGAAGGAAGGGCAGGAGGTGCCAGAGCTGAGAATCCCCTGCAGCCCGTGGTGCAGACCATGGTGAATGGATCTGCCCAAGCAGAACCATGGGGATGCAGAGATCTACTTGCAGTCCATGGAGGAGACCCATGCTGGAGCAGGCGTATGCCTTAGAGGAGGCTTTGAACCCATGGGAGGCCAGTGCTGGAACAGGCTCCTGGCAGACCCATGGAGAGAGGAGCCCATGCTGGAGCGGGTTTTCTCATGGAAGGTGTTTTTAAGGCCTTTATTTCTCATTATCCTGCTTTGGTTTTATTAATAATCAATTCAATTAATATGCCCAGATGAAGTCTGTTTTGCCTGTGACAGTATTTGGTGATTGATCTCTCCTGGTCCTCATCTCAACCCATGAACCCTTCAGTATATCTTTTCTCCCTTGTCCAGTTGTGGAGGGCAGAGATAGAGAGGCTTTGGTGGGTACCTACAATGCAGCCAGGGTGAACCCACTACAGTCATTTTGGTGCCAAAACCCAGGATTGTGAGGATTTTGAGATAAGGATAGTAACTAGTAGAGGTAAGAGGCAAAATGAGTACTGAACAATGTCAGAGAGTAGACCTATCAAGGGAAAGTTTTGTTGTAAATTGTGGTGAAGGGACAGCCAGTGGACTTTGTGTAAATTGTCAAATTTTGTTTTGTGTTGTGATAAAGTTATCTTGGTTTTTGTGTGGGGAGCTTTATTTTATTTCTGGCTGGTTTTGTTGTTCTAGGTGAAGGTTGTGTGATGAATGTGGATTTTAAAGATAATTCTTAAATATGTGATTCACAGAGGTGAGGGGTGGGAGGAATACAATTGCTCAAAATCCCTGCATTTCTAGACAAAAAAAATTAAATAAAATGTATTAGGAAAGTCTAAGAATCTAACCAAAAATATTTGCTACAAAACTTCTTTTCTTTATCTTAATCTACTCTGGAACCATTCTTTGTTTTTCTTTATGAAAAACAAATCCACTGATAAGCAGCAGTGACTGAGCTACACCTGAAACAGAAAATATGCTTAAATAGGTTGAGAATAACCTTCTGAGAGGCATTATCCAATTGTCTATGAGGGGATAAAAGAAAAAAGAAACAAACAACTTTTTAAGAGAAGTCATTAGAAAAGAAGTTCCATAATATTCTGAAACTTCCCTCCATAATTGTTACTTAAACTAACTCAAGCTGCCAAGAATCAAACCCAGAAATGTTTGGATGCCAGCATGTTAAATCAGAGATTAATTTCTGGTAAAAATCTTACACCAATATCAAAAGAAAATGCTTTCTTTAACTTGCTAACAGGAAAGCTGTCTTTGATAGACCCCTTGCCCAAAGAAAGTTGTTGAAATAGCAGAAGTTAGGTTGAGCAGAGAAGCGGTAAGAGCAAGATGTGTCAGAGACTGGACTATTCATCCTAAAAGGGTTTAAATAGGAATATTAAACATTTCTTCAACCAGTGTAAGTTTTTGAAGGACAGACAGAACATTATGAAATCAATATGAATGAGTGTTCTTTTTGTTAACAACCTCCTTTTTTTCTATAGTTCACATTGCATTCATACTAAAAAATACTCCATGCTTTGATTTTTCAAGCTTTCTTAGGGAATGAAACTTACTTCGTATGTGGTTTTCAGCACAATAAAGCATATCAGCTGCATGAATAAACTGGTATCCTGTTCCTCTCATACACAGCTCTGCTTCGGTGTATCCCAGGACAATCTTTCCTCTGGAAGGTAAAACCAAAAAATTGCAACCCTGCTGGTGAACCAACTCACAGAATGAATGTCAAGCAAGTTCATTATGGCTAGAACATTTCAGATGCAAGTGCTAACTACATTTTGTTGCTATATCAATTGTATGTGGAAGCAGATCAGCTAATAAAAAATAGTCAACAAGTCATAAAATTTTAATTAGTCTGCCAGGTTCCCTTCAGTGACTAGGACTGGGTTCACAAAACCATTAGATCATAAAAGAAAAGTGGATGCCTACAGCTGGACTCTCAGTTCCATACTACTCAACATATTCACTCCTAGCAGGTGGCTCCCATTACTTCCACAGAAAGACACAGTTTTCTTAGCCCTGTTTCTTAGGTGCTTGTGTGTAGAGTTAAGTAGGGGTTTAAATTCAGTGATCTAAAACTTCTTACCTAAATTAGAATTTTTACTAGTTTAAAGTTTGAATGCAGATGTAGTTCAGAACTACATCCCTTTTGAGTGGTTTGGGACCCCTGTGTTTGCATTTAAACAAGATATGACTCAGAGGAGGACCACTAGCAGGAGTCATGTTTGACCCTGGCAGCTAAAATTAGAGTACTTTACTAGGGGCTGGGGAGATGAAACACTTAACACAATTCATGTGATCTCTATGTGATACATGATAAAACAACATAGCCAAAAAGAGAACTAAACAGGATTTGAAACAAAGAAATGGAGATTCAAAGACTAAAGGTAAAAAAAGAGGGAAAGAAGGGATGGGGAACAATATACATAAAACTGTAAAATATGACGAAAACTGAACATTTCAAGTGAATAAAAATATATAAAAGAGGAAAGAAACACTTGTGTTAACATTTTGTAAATTTTTACTTGTATCAGCTTAGAGAAATAATCCATTTTGGTCTCTCAGTAGACAAAATACCAAGTAATTCAATTCTAATCTGTAAGCAGGTGTGGAAACCCAGATGAGAGACTTGAATGAAAATGAAAGCATCGTCAGTCAAAAATAGGAGGAAGAGGAGAAGCAGGGAGGCCAGAAATTTTTATTTTGATAAAAAAGCATCCTAATGTGCTTCTTGCCATGTTGAAGCATAGTAACATTAATTTGATCTTGTGTTGCAGTAGTGTTTCCAAATTTTACATATGGAAAATAATTTGGAAATGGATTTGAAAATAGGTAAAAGTCACAGTATAAAAAGTATTTAATTTATTTTTAAGAAAAAAAAAATCTATTGCATTTTACACCTATTTGAACTGAAGGAGAAATGTAGAATGAAATAAAACACTTGTTCTATCAGTTCTAAAACCAAATTTCAAACCAGATTTAGCATGAAACTTTTCTTCTTCCCTAATACATTAGTATGCTGTCTTTTGTTTTTTCTATTTTGGGTCGGTTTTGCGGGTTTTTGCTTTGCTTTTCTAACTGAGAGTCAGAGAGCAGTATGCCATTTCAAGGAAATAGACTGTGGCAAATCCATTTCTCCTTGCTTGATAGCAGGTCTGGAGAGAAAAACCTTAACAGCTTCTAACAGCCATCACTGAAACAGTTTACATACCAAAAGAGTAGCCTGCTTTATATTTCAAATACATACTTGAAACCTATTTCGTCAGCATTAGACAATTACACAGAATAATTTACACCTACTTTGCATCACAGCCAGTAGGTGTGAAATCCAGCTTGTGTTTAGTTCTGAAGATGAAGTTCTTGGTCCGTATCTCAAGGATAGATGGTGGCTGCAGGGGAGTAGCTACTGCAAACAGTGCAAGCTGAGGAGACAAAGCAGCACCATCCTTCCCTTTCTTGTTTTGTCCGTGGAGAAACTTCAATCGTCCTTGAAAATTCATAGCCTTAGGATGAGGAAAAAAGTAATTGTTATATGCTGGAGATATTTAAAAGGAAGATATTTTTGTTATGATGTAAAACATGTATTTTTCATTCTTTTGAAGATCCATGAGACTCAAGCTTTACAGGATGGCATACATAAAAGTTAGCTAACAAGTACAGAACACTGTTGTTATACCCCTGAATGTGTCACTTCAATATCTACTTACTGAAAAATTAATTAATGGGAAGATTAATCTGTAAAAAAAACAACAAAAAACCAAACACATAGGATCAAATATCAGCTGTGGCTTCTAATATTCTAATGAACATACATGCATACAATTACAGCATTATTTCTCTTGCAAATTTGTATGTTCAGTTTTGCAATTTGAAAGAATTCTATTTTGTAAGATATCACAAAGAGGGTGATAAACCCATACTTGTTTTAAAATCAAAATAATTGACTAACAAAACATGCATTAAAAAGGGCAAGCACAAACTTTTCCAAAAAGTAAAAACAATGGTACTCTTAATTACTATAACTTATTGCACCTCAAGATACTCAACTTGATACAAGAAAATACTCTTGTAATGCTTTTTGACCTACAAATCACACAGTGCTTTACAAAAGCAGTTGCTTATTTACATTTCACTAAGGAATCCGGGCCATGAGAAATGAGAGAACTTGCACCTGGTTGTGACAACATCTTAAGGGGGACACATTCAGTGTCATTAACTGAAACTTTGTGGTTCAAGCAGCTCAGATATCTTTGGAGACTTAAAAAAATAGATTAAGTTGCTGCACCTCTTGTTAAGATAATGCAGATTTCCAACTTTTAAGCATATCTGGAAGATTTATGTAACTCTACTCACCAGGAATCCAGATGAATTATCCAGGAGACATCGTAACCTGCAGATGAAATTCCTTTCCATAAAGGAAGAATTCTCCGGAGGAAGTTGGTCTGGGTTATAATAGGTTGCTGGCTGTGAAAAGCCATTATCTCCTGCAGGAAAGGATTATTTATATGGATTATTTTTAGAAGAACACCTAGTGAAGGCTATCTATAACAAAGATCTTCCGTCTCATAAACAAAGCGTTAGGTCATGACCTGAGCAAGAACAACGTAAACTGGAAACATCCTCAGAACATATAATGATTGTAACACTGAGGTTAAGCATCAATTCTTCTGATGGGATTATGTTTTACAGGCAATGGTATTTGAAAACTGAATGTAATTTATTTTTAAGCGCTTTTTTTTGTTTTTTTTTCTTTGGGGCTTTTGTTTGTTTGGGTTTTTAATTTATTCATTATGTTTGTCAACAGCCTAGTCTCTGGACCAGTTGCAAAGAGCAGAGTTCTCAGCTCATGTTCCTACAATGACAAAAAAGTCAAAGCAACTACAGGAACTGAGTATTTAAAAACACAGTAATGATATCAAACTGTGAAACTTGCTTTCCAGACAGACAGATGAAAGCAGTAGCAATAAATAAAAATCAGCAACTTTAGGAAACAACCACAAAAAATCAGCATTTTTCTCCAAAGATGGCAAAATCACCCTACTAAATAGTGAAAATATTTCTGGGCTCTGCCAATCAAAACACCATAGTTACTTCTCCAGGTATACCTGGAGTACTTGTGTTTGGAGGGTTATTTGTTTTAAAAAAACTCAAAACCATGATTGTTAACTAGAATAATAACATGGTATCCTTCCACCTTGTCAGGACAAGCATTTGCTGCTAAGTGGTATTTACAAAACAGACTTAAACATTTGGAAAGTAAAACCAGAAGGTAAACCAATAAACTTCTGATAGAATACATATGTTCTACATGAGACTACATATACAGAGATACCAGAGAATTACTACTCACAGCAAATTTAGCACAGCAATCTTGTTTGCAATACAGATTAAAAAAACAGTCATTCTCTAGGAATTCATACATGCAGAAAATTGAGAAATATCCAGCTTAGAAAGACATTTTATTATAAATACCCTTTAATTTAAAAAACAGTCCATGTACTCTTAGAGAACCTATTATCAAGTATGGACAAAATAATAACACAGATTTTAAGAACCCATATTGACCTTCCAGACATGGAGATGAGGTCAGGGAGAGCATGTCACTTAACACACCACATCATATTTTCTCAAATATAATTATGTCTCGTGAACAGCTGGAAAAACTTACAGATAGGCTCAGAGGTTAGAACACTGGCAAAACAAACACAAAGGTAAACAAATCATTACCAAAAGCCAGTTCAATTTAATCTCCTATGAATACAAGGGCCTGAATTGGAGCTAAATGAGATTGTTGATGTCTTACCAAAATGCCTTGCAACCTAAGGCTATCCAAATCCTACAAGCATGCTGAGTTATCCAACTTTTCAGATAAAATCAGGAGATACCTTTTTTCCCTAAAAAAACTGCTATGCTAGGTCAATTTTTTCTGAACAAAATTCAAGGTGTGGAGAAAAAGAAACCATTTTCTGTCCTAGCTAATAGTGTGATGAAAAGGGATAATCTAAAATTAGAGCCATCTGAAGAACTGTATTGGCCAGTCACCATAATGAGCAGATCCCGCAGACAAACTCAGGTATTTGTAGTCCAAGACAGTTACCATATAACTTTGAAATCAGAAAATAAGAAATTCCCACACTTGTCATATGGATGGTTCTCAACAGACAAAGCAAACTTCCTCACTTGCTACTGCTGCATATTTTTTTTATTATAAATTGCTTAATTGATGGTGAGATTTTTCAACATTTCTGAGATGGCGCTTCTCGAAGCTCTCTGAAGAAGCAATGATTATGAAGAAAGAGCATCAAAGAAACAGCTTGCAAATCCTAAATAATATTTCAAAAATGCCAGCTCTGACTGGGTGCAGATCTAGTACCCAATAATCAGTGCCAGGGTTTCTGCTGACATCCTTGGCACTGGTAGGTGTGTCCTTCAGCATTTCTGCCACAGGAGAAACTCAGTGTTGTTCTTTTGTTAAGTACAGAGCTGAAATTTGAAGGTTCAGCAAGTCCAGATGGATCCTGTGGAGTTTGTCAAGTTTCATAGTAAAATGCAGCTCCCAAGAGCGAGTAAAGCTGTGGTGAAAGAAGTGGCTCCCAACAGGAGGGGAACAGAACTCAAAACAGGAGGTAACGGGCTTCCAAACTGAGCCTCCTACACTTGTGAAAGCAACACTGCTGTACTTTTCCAGGCAGACAGAAGGCAGGGAGGTTTTACTGCCAGGATCTTGAAATGACTCACTGTAAGAAGGCAAAGACTCTTACAGAGCATCTACAATCCCTAGAGCAAAACTAGCAGTTAACACTCCAGGAGTCAGAGTCCATATCCCTCATGAAGATCACACTGGATCTCATCAATACCATGTAGCAATGTGCAGAGCATGCAGTGCATTAAGTGCTTGTCTTTAAACTCAAGACCATATGGTTGTGCAACATGCAAAGTTCAAAAGATTATCCAGACTTAATGCCCCAAAGCAGATATTTGGGACTGAAAAATCAGAATTTTGCAAACTTCTCTGGGAACAAGACAAGGACCAGGCATGTCTGGGAAGCACAGTAACAGCTGAGGAAACCAGTGGTTTTAGCAGCATACCAGAGTACTGAGTGAGAAATAACCAGTCCAGGCTAACTGAAGCAGAATCAGTTCCCAGACCCAGGATGGAATCTGTGCCTGAGAAAAATTATAGTATATCTATAAATATCTGCATAATGATAGCTGAATGTATTAAAACATTAATGGATTAAATTAGCAAAAATGGAGGGGATCCTTACAGTCATAGCATTATCCTTTGCTATATACCTGAATTCAGTTCAAAAATCCTCAACATCCAAACATTTGATGCTACTTGAGGCTCAAAAGACATCATCGGATCATAGAATGGTTTGGGATAGAAGGGACCTTGGAGATCACCTAATTGCAACCCCCCCTGCCATGGACAGGGACACTTTTCACTAGACCAAGTTCCTGAAAGTCCCATCCACCTAGCATCCCTGAATGCTTTCAGGAATGGGGCACAATTAGCAGGTTTTGCAAGACAGAAATACAAGATATAAAATAAAGAATTGTTTGTAATCCTGCTCAGCTCTTCTTGTAATTCAGTTAAATCTGAGGCAAATCCAACCTAGTGTCATACTTTTCAAACAACGTTTTCTAAATTCATATGCACTTGCTTAAGTTCCATAGGCCACAACTTCACTCTAAAGCAAACAGGATGAAAACCTGGTTTGTGAGAACCATACTCTTTGCTGTACTGACCTCTACTATTAACTATCTGTGCAGCAGGCCTGTGGAGACTGATCTAGAGATGATATAATGTTGATGCTAAATGAAAAACTCAAATATACTGAAGTGTGTTACAAACACAGTAAATTTTCTCTATCAAATCATGGCATTTCCATACTCTATTTTTTAAAAAAAATTAAGTTACTTTAAAGTTTATTAAAAAGAATGGACTTTCTATGATTAATAAATTCCCTATAATCAAGTCACAGTAACAGAAGATTTTACCTACATGTTTAAACAACTGTTCTGCAAAGGGAGCATTAAAATGGAGCACTTGTCTCGATGGCTTTGTTGTCAGTATGATGCAGGCATGTTTCCTGTATGACACACAGCTACCTGTACCCACACATCTTTGCTCTGATACACGTGCAGTGTGATTCTCCTTAGTTGTTTCTCAATATAGCAGGTAACTTAAGCATCAGCCAGTAACATGTGACAACTCTGCTCTAGCATGCATACTACTTGATCTTAAAGGCTCATCTATTTGATCTTTTATTTCTCTTTCCCTTTTATCTCCAAGAGAAGTACCAGTCTATGTGGCAATGAATGCACTATTCCCTATAGTAACACTAACTAGCACATTCTTAGATTGATCAGTCTAAGAAACATTGTCACTTAGACTCCAAATTAAAGTCTTATAATTTGAAGTATAATTAGTATTTTAATGATGCTGTGCTATGAATAAAAGCACTTATTTAAAGTGCAAAAAATAGTAATTCTCACTGTTGGCTAAATATGTCCGTAAAATTCAAGTCAATTTGAAATATAGTATTTCTTCCTTTATTCAGCTAAAATTATCTCAGTTTTTTTACATAGACAAATTAAAAAAGCCCAAAAAACAAAACAAACAAACAAAAAACAACAAAAGAAATCCAATAGGCAAACAGTAAATTCTGTTCTCACCTTGTACACTTGGTCCAGAATCATCTGACTGGGCAGGATTTAATGCCCAATGTAGCTGTCGTTGAAACTCAGGTCTGTCTTCTGTGTGAATCAATTCAAATACACTCTGATGTATAATATCCGACTAGGAACAAAAGGAGAAAGGTGAGAAAGAAGAACAATAAGAAAATTATACAACAATGTGATACAAGTTGTCTGATTGACAAAGATGTTGTGGATACAGCAAAATCCATTTTGCTCAGGGATAGACAATACAATCATGTGCAGGTGGGAAAGCTTCATGAAAAGATTTTTAGCAGCAGGGAGAACAGCTCAGTTACACATATGACTGTAAACACGGAAAACAACAAAAATATTGCCTTAGAAAAAAATGTTACATTATGTCAACTCTTTCTTTACCTGCTTTTACCTAAGAAGGCCTGGAAATACCATGCTTAGGTACTGTTTAAATTATTTAGTTTTATATACTGGTAAATAAAGTACTTGCCAGCTAGTACTTGTCCTACTATAGGTGCTACAGGAATACAAAAGAAGCTAAAGACCCTGAACCAAACTGCCAAAAATAAACCAAGCAGATTATAAACAGTGGATTTGCTTTGTCACTTAAGGATGTGCTAAAACATGTCATTATTAAGCCTTTATTCCACTACCAATTGTGTGGTTAGGAATGTGATCTAAATGGCAAAGGCTCAAGAGCAAGGATCAGTGCTTAGAGGAATTTAAGGGGCAAAAAACACTCAAAATATTAAAGAAAAGACTCAGTTGACTGAGAAGAGTTAAGATCCCCGTTTTCAGCATGTTTCAAAAACCCAACCATTATATTAACAGAAAATATTTAAATAAAACATAGATCTAACACAATTGAGATCAACTAGCAAAGCCTGCGTCAAATTTTGCTATGATGAATATCATAAAACAATCAGTATTTTCCAGAATAAATTGCCAGAAATGCTAATTTTTGTAACTTTAAAACTTTACTTCTATACCATGCACTCGATTTACTGGCATTACTTCATGAATGTTATGTCCAATTTGTTTCCCAAGCTTTTTTCTTTTTCATTCCCCAACACTGAAGGAATATGTAACCCTAGCAATAAGAGTGGGGGCTTTTTGAAATATTTTCTTTTACACAAATTTTCCCCAATTTCTTATCAGTTACCTGAAACTGCAAACCAAGCAAGGTTTTTCACTATTTTTCAGACAGCAGCTGAATCTGTCAGTATGCAGTATCCATGGATATACATTGAGAACTATAACTATCATCTTCATTCTATCATCTTCACATAAAGTAATCCCAGGAGTTTTTAACAAAGACAGAATTTGCCTGCTATGCCTCAGCCTTTAGTACTTTGGCACCTGGTTTTCAAGCCCAGTGAAGTCAGCCATGTGTGATCTGCACCATAAACAGTAAAAAACAAATGCTTGTTTTGAAATTCATAATTAAATAAATATACATGAGCAAGAGAACAAATTCTAAAAATACCAAAATCAATCACTTGATACTTATAAATCTCAAGGCATATGGAAATAGTTTTTCATGAAAGGTTTCTATTAAAATAATTACCTTCCCATTGAATTATGCCTCACTCAGCATCATAAACTGGGTAACACCACAGTATAAATTTCAAACATTCCAGTAAAGAATAATTAAGTGTGAAAATTTCCTATCTTGCCTAAGTCAACTTTGGAAATTATATTCGTGTTGTGCTTGGCCTTACATCCTGACTATGAAAGCTGGTAGAAAAGCAATATGGTTTCAAAGTAATTCAACCTAAAGTACCTCAGATTTTTATTACAAAAAAAAATGTAAGACCCTAAATATGAACACTGACATTCCCTGAAATTAGGCAAAACTTCTGAAAAAAATTGAATAAACAAACTTACTTGTTGGAATCCCAAGTAGTCTTGGATAGTAGAAGAGACGTAAAAAACCAGAGCATCTGCTGTAACAACTAACACAAATCCATTTAATGCCTGGGGAAGAAACACAGCAACCTGTCAGCTCCAGAGATAGAATTTCACATAATTATTGTTGCTCTAGGTCTACCTATACTGTAGTCCACCAATAAAATGTGAAGCATGGAGAAGCACACCATTATCTAACAGCACAAACAGAAGGATTCCTCATAGCATCTCTCTGCAGCATAGGTGTTAAAATGAAGAAAACTGGATCTAACAAAAACAAACAAACTTTGTTGTTTTATTCAGCGGAGAAGCCAAACTGTGTTGATGATTTTTAAAAACTCTTGATTGTACAAGACGAGGGAAAGTAGTATGAAGAACTGTAAGTTTATTTAATATTAACCACAGTTCACAATGCTTGTTTGGCTCAAGCCTTGGATATCCCCAGCTGCCCACTGCACAAATGACAGCCATGTCACAAACCCAGTCCCAAAATCCAATCTATACATATGCAGTCAGGCCACTGTGGACAGGAAATCAAGCTATTAAGATCCCCTATAAAGTCCAAGAAAACATTTTATAGTTTACTTAAAATAGAAAACCTCTGCAAAAGCGGACTGTTGCAAGTAAACAATGTTTTTGAAGAGATTTCCCCCTCCGTGGAGCAGCAGACCAGGCGGCTCCACACTCAAAGTCACGCAAAGGGCATTTATCTGAGCTCCCAATCAATATGGTCCATGGCAATTGTTGTGATAGCAAACAGTACATTTGTGACTTGGCAGCTCATCTGAAAGGTGCCGATTTACTTCTATGGATTTCAGTCAAGATTTAACAAAAGGCAGTCTCCAGGGGCTGGACTGAGTATATTCTACCACTTAATTTCCTCAGCTGCATTCAAAGGCAAATTTGGCCAGCATACTCAAAACACTTTTTTTAAAAAATCTTTTTATTGATGCAGAATTATTATACACAGAAAATGTAAAGTAAGTGAAGGATATCCTATATCTTGCTGCAACAAAGTACTAATACATAAATGAAATATCTGATTAAATGGCTGATCTTTAAATGCTGTGAACCACTCCAATTTAATGTGTAGATATTACTTAATCTACTCTCATAAACAGCTGTTAGCTCTATAAAAGATCCTTATAAGTTTAGTAAATTTTATGTGAATAAAGAATGAGCTAAAAAAATCAATAATAATCTGAATTTTAATAGCATAGTCAATCCAAGAAATCTTACACAGAATCTTTGGTTTTAATGAAGCTTGCAGTAATTTCATGGGAGAAGAATGCCGCAGTGTCCTCTGCTGACCTGTTCTGCAGGGCATTTCACCTCAGCTGGTTGACATGAAAAATCTGCAAGCTGCACAGCCTCTAACTTTGTCTCAAATGTTAAAATTGGTTATTCTGGTCCATTTCATACAGAGCTACCTACACCTTCTGTACCTGGAATTCAATCACATTTTGCACTGGCCCTGGTACACAGCTCATCTCAAACCAGGATTGTTACTGAGATAGCCATATGCATTATTTAAGCCACAAATTCTGTAACATGCATATATCTGGATATATCAATAAGTGGGAGATGAGTTCTGATGGAGAGTTTTGCAAAATGCAATCCAAAAATAATTATCCAAAAACACATAATGAAATTTCTCAGTGAGTTTATTATTCTGGAGAACTGAAAATTATATTTGTGCTCTAAAAATTACTCTCAATGCTCCTAATAAAAAAGGTAGTTTCAAATTTGTTCATTACTGTTGAGAATTAGGTCTTAAAAATGTCTTAGAGGTCATCATTTGTCTTGCACTTTTTATCATAAACTTGTTTGGGCTGTAATAGATTTTGTATTTTAAATAGGAATTTAAAATATTTTAAATATTTTTAAAGGAAATTTAGCTTGCTTTTAAGGAAGGCACATTTATGTATTTGATCTCTGCTTCCACAATAGATTGGATTGGCAAGACAGTTTCTGTGTTGGAAATTAAAGACAATTTTCTGTTTGTTAGCAAGCAAGCAAAAGCAACTGACAAATAAAAGCAAATATCACCTTAGCAAAATGAAAAAAGGTAGGGAGATAATAAAAGGAAAACGTTCATCATCAGTTATAATTTTTCACCTGCATAATGCAAAAGACTTCTGAGCAGTAGTGTAAGGGAAGGACTTTTATCAATATTTACAACTTACTGATTCCCACTATGTTATAAAAAATTCCTAATTTCATCACACTCATGACTTATAACCTCGTGACTCTCACAGCCTAGGAAAATTCCATCTGTGTATTCATTCTCATAAATTTTTTCCAATATATAAAATGTTTACAAAACAAATTCATTGAAGAAGTGCAGTTAATTTACTTCCCAAGAGGGGTAGAATTTTCAGCAATAAATATATCACCCACTTAATTTTCATACTGGAAAAAAGTTCCCTCATGTAACTTCCACTCAGAAGTAATTAAAAATCCCCTGTATTTCAGATGAATTAGATGCTTTCAATATAAACCATATATTTCTGCTTTTTAGGCTTTTTTCTGTTTAAAAGAAAGCTGTTCACTGGCAGCAACTACACAACAGTTCTTTGTCATACTTTATTAAGTTTAGAAAATAAAATACATGTCCTAGTTTTTTTTAGTTGGTTAGAAAACAATTTTCAATTAGCATCAACTTAAAATAATTGTTTTGTGGGATTCTTAGAACCTATTTTAATTTCTAATCTTTGAACACTGAAATTCATTTTGTTCTAAGCAAACAATTGACTCTGACTGAATGATTTGCCACTTTTGATAGATACATCAGAGTGCAACCTGTGTAGAAGACAGACTACCAACACACTTCAAATGGAGCTGCACGTCTCCATAAAATCTATTTTGTGAAACTAGTTAGAAAATTGCAATACCTGTATTTTTAATTTCTTGAGTTTAATCTGGACTTGGTAGTATATATTTACCCATATGCTTTGACACTCTAGGACATTAAAACAGGCTAGACAATTTAAAAAAAAAAACAAAGCCCACACTTCAATTAATATTTTCCATTAGTTCATATAAAAGTTATTCAAAGTATTTTAAAATTTCTCCTGAATCTACATGCATGCTGAGTTCTTTCAAACCACTGAGAAAAAAAGATATTTCAGCAAGCCCAAGGTGTTTGAAGGAGAAATTGTTTCTTTCCAACAACTAGTCACCAAATTTATCTGGTCCTTATAAAAACTGTTCTTCTATATTAACATCTTTATTAAAAACAGATACAGAGATGGGGTCCCCCTAATAAATTACTTAGAAACATTGAAGAGGGCCCATATTCTAACATCCACTCTTAAGTCCCAAATACCAAAGAAAATCCAAGAGCTGTTTAATATTGCCCTAAAGAAAATGAGAAAGGAATTTCACAATATGAAAACGTTTTCTATCTCATCACTGAGCATCTTGTATGTTATATATAGGTGTTTGGGTTTTATTTTTTAAATCTTTGTACAATATGTCTATTGCAAAACATACCTGCAACAGGAGTTCTCCTTCCAGGATCTGCATCCCTTCTCCACACTTTCCTGTTCTAGAGGTTTCCTGAATGCCATTTCTTTCTGGTCTGGTAGAGCTAGATGATTTTAATGCAACTAGAACAAAGAAAAGAAAAATGAAATTAAGCAATCTTTGAAAGGCTCGTTAGAAATTTAGGTAATGATCTGCTATTTTGTGTAAGAAAAAAAATGGATTTAAATATATATATTTTATATATATTATAAATTCAATCTAATGAAATATTTTTGTTTCCATGTCAAACCCTTTCCTTACCTTTAGAGTGCACCCCTCTATTTTGTCATCCTTCTCTTTTCTATATATAATAATTTCACAACAAAATCATTATTATTGCAATCAACCCAAGTCTCATTATTTCATACCTTCTTCTCCTTCTCTTCACAATAAGTCCCACTTCTAGTTTGTCACTCTTGTGACAAAGAAAGGCCCTTTTGTTTTCATAGGCTATCTTCCTCTAAGGATAGCAGTGCTGTGTTAAGGCAGGAAAACACCTACACTTATTCTTATCCCACCTAATTTCAGATGTCAAACTATGGTTCATCAGACAGGTAAGCCTGCTCAAGACCTAAAGCTCCCTTCAGGGAAAGGAAGGAAAGAATCATGAACCCTAAATGCATGCTATATAATAAAAGATCCCAACAAAACAAAGAAAGGTACTTCAAATAAAAAGGTGTGGGTATTTTCTGTCATAGTTAAATTTTAACTTTTTAAACAGCTAGGCACTCTTTGCAACTACAGATAAAATACTGTAACAATGAATCATCATTATTCAGATCATAAATATATGTAATTGAGAGAAAAAATTACCCAGTGACTAAGAAATGAAGAATCATACCATATTGCTAAGAAGCTCCCATAAGCCATTCCCATCTCTGCATCCTTCTAATAAACAAGATGCTGTCAAATAAAACTACATACTCAAAGATCACCCATAACTCAGAATTTACCTACTTTTCACTGCTCTAAAAATGAGGGGGAAAAAAAAAAGAAGTCTTCAAATCAGAAATTAATCTGAGTAGGTCTGTAGTGTCTAAACCGCTTAGAATTACTTGAGCAATTGTACGTTAAACCTTTACCATAAAACTAAAGGCCAACAACTCTCAACCCCAAAATTTCTGTGCTGCAAAGCAAGGGATTTCTATATTAGTACAAATAGAATACAATATAAAAAATATTTTTGTGATTTATGAAATATAATAGGACAAAACCTATAAAAACAACTGCACTTCTATAAAATACAAGTTTCTCACAATGATGGGATAGTCAGCCTAAATTTTAAATGAGTTTTCAACCTGCTGAAAACTTTCATTTTTTCCATTGTTTAGAACTTTAGTCAAGAATCCTGAAGAACTTCTGTTCACTCACTTTTAAATTACATTAAATGATATTTTACACTATATATATTAACCGAAAGACAAATTATGCATTTCCTGGTTTTTTAAGCTATCATGGCAGCTGAGAACATTCAAAGCCAGACAGTTTTCATTAAAATATACCTCAAAGACACCACAGAGGAAAAATGTGTTCTAAAGAGATATTACCTGATTAATCAGATCAGAACGTATCTAAAGGTCTGCTTTGAGATAAAAACCCTAATGCTGTTGTTCTTCCTACAAGGTGCCCAAAATGTCCTGCAAAAGGCCACACAGAGGCACAGTGACAAATTCATGTAAAAAGGTTACATAGCCAACTTTTTTCCTAGCATTATTTCAAAAGGATATATAGAATATTCACTAAACACCCCTGAAGCCAACAGGTAGTAGAAGAAAACGTTTTGAAATTTATATTGTATGATTATTGAGAAAGTTCACATTCAGCTGTGAAAGCTGCAAGTAAAGATGCCTAATCACCCTTGCCAATCTGCAAAATACTATAAGCCATTAAATACAAATGTGTTTTTTCTTTTATAATGTCTAATAGGATAGAATACTGTCTGAGAGATAAAATCTACCAGAGCTTCAGAGCTCAAATGTAGCCAATGCATTGGTGGCTGTATTCCTCCTAACTTTCAAGGTGCACAATAGGTACATGTGAAGTTAAACATTTTCCTGAATTGGAATCTACAGCTTTTGCAGAAATCAGAATGTGGATGGAAGCTGTTTACAAGTAAGGCACATGGAAAATTGCCAACAATCTAGATTAGTGAAAACAGAAGATACAGTGGAAATTAGAGCTGTATATCCATAATTTGGTATATAACTCCTAAAAAAAAAAAAAAGGAATAAATCCAAATTTACCTTGTTCTGACAGAAAAATCACAGGTATATTAGTGCATGCTACAAGCCACCCAAGTCCCTGGCACTAAACAACCCCAGATACCAGGATTCACACTCGTAATGTGTGCTTCTATACTGTCAAATTGAAGGCTACCAGAAACACAGAGCCTTACAGCATGGGAGGACCATCTTGCTAAGCAGCAGTTCTGAACAGACTTAGCCACACAATAATGTGGCCTCAGAAATATCAGCTAGAGATATAATAATAGCTAATGGAAAGGAGAATTAAATCTTAAAAAGCATAACTCATCCAAAAGTAATATTACAGTCAACACCACCTGGTTTAAAATCAACCATGTGTGTTCTGCTAGTTCTCATAGTCCATTTTACTCATGTCATCAGACAAAATAATCTCAATAGTTCATTATTCTACAGCCTTTGAATATCTGAATTAAACAGAATTCGTTGTGAGCTATCCCCTCTTAATTTTCCTACACAGGAAATTAAAACATGAATGCTCACACAGGTAAAGAGAAAAAATTTGTACACATATTCTAGAATATACTCACGATCAAATGACTTCTCAGGATTTCCCATTAATAATTGTAAAGCATCAAAAATGAAGCAAATTTGCTTATACTTGTAAAAAAAAAAACCCAAATCAAATGAGCAAACAAACAAAAAACCCCAAACCAAAAAACATCTGTTACACAATTTTAGTAGGAGGGTTGGATTGTAAGTACCTGCTTTCCAAGTAGGTTAATGATTGTCATTCAATCCTAAATCCAACAATAAGCATCATTTCCATTGCCTAGACTTCCCTCATTTGAAGTCCAAGCTGAATCTCAAAGACAACTAGATAGTGACATTTAATAGATTTTTCTAGACATATATATATATATATATATATATATATATTCTGATACATTTGTTTTATGGTTGTGAAATTCTTTAACACCCAAGCCAGCAAATATAGAAGACAGTTGCTTTTACATTACATCTACAATGATAAATTAAGTAACAATGCTTACATCAGTATTTACCAGCTTCTTATCTCTAACCTTAACTGTTACATTCAGGTGATAAGAGATACAATACAGAGTAGGGGTGAAAAAAGTGTTTGACATACTACTTCAAGTCTGAAAGAGTTCTAGCAATTGAGTTCTAACTATTGCCAAAAGCCACCTTTCATTTTAAAACCATGTAAGTATTCATTAAAAAATTATTTTCAATACATAAGGACAAGAGGTATTAGGTGATCTTCCTTCTTTCCAACCAACAATCAGTATAAGAAAATGCATGAGTTATAAGCAGCTTGCTGAATCAACTAATAATTCATAATAGATTAATTTCATTAGTTACCTGCTGAGATATTCAGGAGGTAAGCTGAGGAAAATTATTGAAAAAACAAGTCTATCTACCATCTCATTTAATATAAATGCTGTCCCTCAAGTGAGACTCTAGTCCAAGATGAAAAACGTTTTTTTCACCTTCAAACACCTGATCTCTAAGGTTTATACTTGGTAGGTATCCTCCCCTCAAGCTTCAACCCACAACCAGCGTCCTCTTCCTTCCAGGCTGTCACTCCTGTTCTCAATAAGAAACTCTGCCATGACTTCCTCACTTGACAGGCAGCTGCCCTGAAGTCCCAGCTCCACTATTTCATCCACTTCTGCTCACAAAATCGATGACCAGGCAGCCATCTGTAGCTACCAGAGCACCTTCAACAGCAGTCCTGTGAATGATGATTCCTTATTCTCTTTGCCAGAAGTTACAACAGCAGAGAATCACAAAAACGTCACAGAACAAGAGCAAATGCACTCAGATGTACTTGAAAAGGGCTCTACCTGTACTAATTGTTGCAAAGTTAATAAAGTGGAGAGAATTCATAATAAGGTACATATGTACCTAGCCAAGTTTCTGATGAGCATTCATGCAGAAGCCTGATTTAACACATACATACTTGAACTGCTGAATTTACTATCACTTTAAGAATAAAATATATAGTTAAATTACTTCAAGACAAAGGCATTCAAAAACTGTTCCACTTGCCCTGTTCATGAAAGAAGTGACAAAGTGACACACTAAAACACTTATACAAATATTCCAAAGAAATATCAGTAACAACAAATCTAATAATAATACCTTTAACCTCAATGTGACTAATATCTTATGTAATAATCAATTGTCTGACCACAGAACAACAGAGTAGCATCCATCAGTGGGCATCAGGACACTGTCAGTACTCAACTCACCCAAACCAAGTTTATTATACTGTTTTCCTCAAATCTAGAAACTACTAAATTTGGAAGAAAGTAAATTTTATTTTCAAGTCATCAGAAAGAACATAGTAAATGAGAAAAATAAATAAAAGGGGTTTTTTTTATGTGTTGAGTGAATAAAGAAGCTTTTCTGACCTAAATGCACATTTGCTGGTGCTCAGCTGTGAATTCTGGAGAGATTTTTCTCCACTGAAACCCGAGCATTTGCACACCAAATGTCTCTTACTATCAAAGGAGTGAAAAAATATATTATTAAGGTTTCCATCTCAAAATTCACCTAATATAGCCACATGTTATTACAGTGCTGAATAAAACCATTTCAGCAACTGCTGGCTGAAAAGCTTCATGGAAACCACACCAAAGTACGATGTGTTTAGAACCTTTTCCTGTTCCTACCTCTTCTTCCCCAAAGAAAAAGCGTAGCAAATTTTTTTAGTGGAGTCAGGGTAGCTCACTACCAAGAGGTGTAGGGAACAGAATATTACAATGCCAAATTTTAAACAGACCTTTTAAAATCATATTGAGATGCAATGAAATTATTTGAATCAGAAAATACTTTTAGATGAATGATCTGTTCAA